TCCTAAATCCTTTCAACCTGCGTTTTGGAAATGAAGTGACTGACTCTTAGGGTTCATGCACTATAATGCATTAGGGGCTCCTGCTCCCTAATGCCCTGACTACTAGCCATATGCGAGATGCAAAGAGAGGTCCCAGCTTCTCTTATTTAAAAAAGAAAAGCCAAAAGAAGTTGTCAGGAGAGAAAAATAATTCTTGGTGCACATACTATAGGATTAATTTTTGCTATCTCACTGGGTTTACATTGCTGTCGCTCCATTGACGCACACTAACCAATACACAGTTTAACCTAGAGCTCAAACACCACCCCCAGGCACCTCTGAGATCAAAGGGGCACTGTCATGTGAAATCAGATCATTAAAATAAATGTTTCCTTCTTTCTGTTGTTACCACCACAGGTAATTAACAGTACAAATTTTAGAAATCAAATGTGTCATCATTTAATGCTCTCTGTGTACATTTGGCACTACATTTAGCTTGGAACGAGTCAGTTTCTCGTTTTGCCATCTTGTGCTAATGCATGAGAGCCAGTGTTCAGGGTACCAAACTGCACAGGAATGTTTACATCCAAACTAAACCCCCCCCTTTTAGTTGGAATTTTAATTTTTGTTGTTGAAATCAATGTGAAAATGTCTCTTTAATAAATCAGAGCCTGCAAGGGGCTGAACAATGCTTAAATCTTTTGTGTGTCATCAGTCCTTGTTGACTTCAGTGGCAGTTGAGATGTTAGGTACTGAGGGGGGCTTCTTACCAGAAGCATATGACTCCAGGATCAGTACTGGCTGTCCGTTGGTTTCCAGGTGGAGTTTAAGGTGTTGGTTATGACCTATAAAGCCATTAATGGCCTGGGACAGGCCTACTTGAAGGATTGGCTCTCTCCCTGTGCCATACTGCAATAGCTGTGGTCAGCAGGGGCATTCGAGATGGATCTCCCCTCATTATAAAAGAAAGAGCATCTGTCTGAGAGCTCCAAGACTCTGGAACTAGCTCCCCTAAATAGTCCAAATTAGGTGACGTTCTGGCCATGCTTCAAAAGACATCGGTTTGATACGGTTTTTGGAGAGGGTTGAGGTTTTGCTTCCTGCAACACTAAAAGGGTGGAAAGGAGTTTCTGAACTCTGGCTGCCTGAGTTCCTGTGCAATGATTTCTTAATGCTGCTGGGATTTTATTGTAGCATCATTGATGTCAGAGTGCCTCAAGCCTTGGTTAGGTATCATGTTTATTACTTTAAATAAATAAATAACTCCCATTGGGTTTAGTTAGGCACTCGACATCTTGCAGGATCTAGGCTGATATATATAGAACTTCAAAGAATGCAGATTTCTTCCTGCTGAGAACCTCCACAGAGAAGTTTCAGGAACTTCAAACTGTTGCTGAATATTTATTCTTTCTCAGCAATAAAGGAAGTAGCATTTCTTAAGCTTGATCCAGCTGTTGTCTTTAAAATGTATGCTCGTGTCCGATCCAAAACTGCACTGTATCAGGCTGACTCTTCCATCTAACTTATCTAAGTTGCTAACACCATAGAGCCTAGTTGTGGTTTAAAATTTGTAAATACCAGTGGTGACTTTTTTGAAGTAATTAATGGAAGGGAGGGACTCAGTCCTATGGGCCCTGGGTAAGCCAGGCTGATCTCACTTAATTTCTTGTATAGTGTAACCTTGTTGGCAATTCTCTTTTAGGAGAGAAATGAACCAGAGCAGATCAGGATTTCTTGTCAGTACATTGCTGCAGTGAAAGGAGTATCAGTAGAAACAGTCTGTGAAGTAACAACATGTAATGCCCTGAAGCTGTTCCCCAAAGTTCACCAGCGGTTGAAACAATGAACGCTTGCCAAACAACAATAAAAAGAGAGCATCTGAAACACAGCTCTGCTCTGTAGTTTGTGGTTTGGGGCTTTATTTTATATATTTTTTACAGTGTACATGTACATATTTCATACTATGGATGATATCATCACAGGGGTATATGTGGAATTTTTGTATTACCAAAATGACATCTTAAAGAATAAAAGCCCAATAAAGTTTTACCTATTGTATTTATACAGGCAGGCAATTTTACAGTTGATGAGGTGAAAATCAGTTACGATTAATAATTTAAAGCAGACACATGGAAAATAAGATAGCAACAAGACTGCAACTTTCCATGCCTTTTACATAGATCAAAAAATCCAGCAATGCTTATTTCCATTGGTATTTAAAGAGGAATCTTCTGAACCTGGACTCACGTCTTATAATGCTGCACTTTTCTCTACTACTCGAGCCAAACTTTTGCATCATATTAGCATATTGAGACCACAGCATTCTCCCAGCTGGTGCTTTCCAGAACCACAGAGGGTTGCTTTCAGAAATCTTTGTTTGCCAATTAGTGTTGATAAGAAAATGCAATGGGCCTCATTTCTGACCTCCCATCAGTTTTGTACCAGGCCACATCTACCCTGCAGCTGTACCACTGTCATGTAGATGCTTCCCCTGAGCTGCGGGTGGACCACGGGGTCAATCAGAGGACTGCAGTATTTTTACAACACATGCCTTTTGGAGGCAGTGCAGTCCAGTGGGTCCGGCAGTGGACTGGGAGGAGAGCTGAGTGCTATTCCCAGCTCTGCCACTGACCAGCTGGGTGACCTGGGGCAAGTCACTTCATGTTTCTGTATCTCCATTTCCCAATTTGTAAAATGGGATAATGATACTTATCTATGGATGACATGTGCTACATATGAACTAAGTAGCTTTAGAGATAACTGGCTGACAACTCCCCCCCCCCCCCCACGTGATTACCTTGCTCTACACCTTGTGGATCAGACAGTTGCCTGGAACCCCCAACACTTGCCCACTCCCCCCGTTCAATGACTTATGCTCCAAACACCCCTCCGCAGGAGGTGGGAAGCGATCGGTGACCAGATGAGTAGTGTGGAGGCTGGGCAATCAATGTCCTGATCAGGGAGGGAGTGGGAGGGTTACATCAGTCAGCAATCTGTTCCCCACCCACCCTTAGTCCAGGATATTGTACAAATTCTCTGGCTCTTCACTACATTTTTGTCATTTTTTTAAAAATAAGCATGGCACAAAACTGATTGTTAGCTAATATGAAATGTCAGGGGTTTTGTTTTAAAGCTATTCTGTTGCCCAAATTTGTTGTTAAATTTAAAAAAATCACTTAGAGGGAACTAGCTGTCCAATGCATTTTTCCTGTGCTATGTGAAGCATCCTGTGCACTGAAAAGTGTAACAGGGAGTTAAATGTAGGGGGGATAGTTCAGTGGTTTGAGCATTGGCCTGTTAAACCCAGGTTTGTGAGTTCAATCCCTAAGGGGGCCACTTAGGGATCTGGGGCAAAATCCCTAGTAAAGGCAGGGGGCTGGATTTGATGACCTTTCAGGGTCCCTTCCATTTCTATGAGAGAGGTATATCTCCATATAAACATGCTTTGGAAATTAATTTTAACCTCTAGTGACTGAAATGTACAGCTTAAAATGCACATAAAATAAACTGGAAATCCAATCTGCACAGCACACACACATTATAATTTTAATTCAGTTTAGAAATAAACCGTAGGTTTCATGGTCAAAATTTTACAGTCTTAGACACAGTTCCAGTGAATCAACTTTTGTTCATTTCTGAGTCTTGTCCTGAGGAAGAAAAGTACATTATGTTGTTTTTAAAATGTACTTTAGAATGTTAGTAATGAGTTTATTTGGGAACTGAGCTACTGTTGAAACAGTTTCTAGCAGTGTTAGATATCCAAACTCATTTTAAAAGCAGCCCTGTAATATCGGGTTTCTCCTTATTTTGTGAAATGTCCTGAGCTCAAACAAGAAGGCAGCTTTTAAGTGGTGCTTCATCCAAAAATGGCATTATCTGCAAGATAAAAGTAAAGTTACGAAAACAGTTATGAAAACCAATTCCTCTCTTAGTAATATATATGTATATTACAGGAGGAGGAGCAGTAGAAGTAGCTGAATGTATAAGGTTGCCGTTTCAGTTGCTTTATAACTCTGACAAACTTGAACTGTTTGGAGTTAAAATTTCAGTGTTTGGTCTTTGATTGAGATTCAGTTGTTTGGGATTTTTTGAAGCTTGAGCAAAAACAGTTCAGCAAAAAATAGGTTGTTTGGAAAAAAATCAAAAATTTAACATTTTAAAACATCTCTAGTACTTGTGGTCTGGAACAGGAACCTGACATTTAGCTGAGGGCTAGTTCTGAGGTTAGCGGTGCCTTTTGCTGTCCCAATGAAAATCCTTTGGAATGTGGCCAACTTATAAGCATTCGGGGAAAAAAGGCTGCTTGAACATGTACCCTGGAACTTCTTCAGCTCTTGTCCCTTCAAACTGTAAACACTCCAAATGCACTTCACGTGCTCCTAACTCCAGCTAAGCCTCCTCTCTTGTTCTGAAACAGAGCCTCACCCACACCTGAACCTCCATATGGGACACAGACAAAAGGAACAGGAGGATCCATATGTTCTCCCATCAAAATCCACTTTGTCCTTGGAGAAAGTGCCCTAAACTAAGAACCAGGAGACCATGAGTTCTAGTCTTACAGTGTCTGTAGTTGACTAGTGTTAATAAGAACTGCCTGACTAATGAGCAAATGAAAGCAGAATATGTAGTATTGGATAATTTTAATATAAGTGGTGTTATCATTCCACCTATTGCTCCTGACTGGCAATAGCTACTGGGAATGATTCAGTAAAGGGTGTTACCAGAACTAAAGTAGACATGAGGAATGACTAAAAGAATGTGCCATTGTCTTGTGTTCCACAGATCTTCACTACATCATTTATCTGCTTGCACTCCAACTGCCATTCATTGTTAGCTGTAGCTGTATTGAATGGCAGAAAGATTACTTGGAGCAGGTTGCTAGAGCTGCCACTGTGATATGAGGAGTACCTTGTACCCTGTACATGTACCTTGAAGGATCAAGCATGCATCATTTCAGTGCTGAGTTGTATAGGTTGTATTATAGTAGACGTGCACAAAATGTCTGCTTGCCATGGAGATTGTCAGCAGTCTGGTGGCATGCATGACATCAGTGTCTGGGGCTTAGTGAGGGGTAAGCGAAGGCAATGTCTCAGAAGGAATCCTTAGGCAAGGGTGAACCGATAGTAACATTTTGCAAGTCTGGGGTCATCTGTGTGGAGTTGACTTAGTATTTGGGTATAGACCAAGTGTAGGGAACTCCTGTTTGCTAAACGAGACCTAACTTGAGTTTTGCCTTAACAAAAAAGTGTTACTCTGTTGTATAGTGCTGTTCCCAAAGCGTTCTCGAGCACCTGTAAGGCTAGGGTGCTAGTGTGTGTGTTACTGGTGTGTTGGGACATGAAGACAGAGGTAAGATTGGGGGTGGGGTTGGTGTGTACCATACCTCATTATTTTCTAGTTTTCAGAGATTTAAATGTAGGTGCCCTTGATCGTTCTAGAAGGGTATGAGGCACTGTCAATCAATCTCAACTCTGTGTTAATGAAATATATGGGCAGTGAATAACCAATAGGTTTTGTTCTCCATCATCCCAGAAAAGGAAAATATTACTTGTGGTATGATCATTTATGGAACAACACCCATTTCATTCCAAAGAATCTCAAAGCACTTCATAAAGTTACTGTATATAGTGTAGCAGTGAACTAAAATCAGTTCACCAGTCACTGAAATACTTCCACCTTGGGGGTGGCATGAGGCGAGAACACCCACAATATCACCACTGCACGCTGGGGTGTTGTGAAGCTTAGCTCATTCATATTTGTAAAATGCCTTGAGTTCTTGGAAGGTCCTACAGAAGAGCAAAGTATTATACTGTTTACACACACAGGGCCAGATTCCATAGGTGCTGGAAATAGGAGTGCGGGGGTGTGTGTGTGCTGCAGCACCCCCTGGCTTGACGTGGCTTCCACTGTATATAGCAGGGGTGGCCAACCTGAGCTTGAGAAGGAGCCACAATTTACCAATGTGCATTGCCAAAGAGCCACACTAACATGTCAGCAGCCCCCCTTCAGTTCCCCACTGCAGTGTCTCCCACCCGCCAGCAGCCTCACCGATCAGCACCTAACCCTCCATCCCTGTGCCTCCCACCCGCCACGATCAGCTGTTTTGTTGTTTGCAGGAGGCTCCGGGGGAGAGGGAGGGGGGGAGGAGGGGGAAGGAGTGGAGTGGGGCCGGGGCCTGGGCCTGGGGCAGAGCCAGGGGTTGAGCAGTGAACACCCTGTAGCACATTGGAAAGTTGGTGCCTGTAGCTCCAGCCCCGGAGTCAGCGCCTGTGCAAGGAGCCGCATGTGGCTCTGGAGCCACAGGTTGGCCACCCCTGGTATACAGGGTTTGCAGTTTGGTCCAATGGCTCTCAGCACCCCCACTATACAAATTGTTCCAGCCCCCCTGACAGATTCTGGTCTGTCTCACTGACAGCCATGCAAGCGAGGCAGAATTTAGCCCAAAGATGGTAAGCAGCTTTGCTTTTTCAAAAACACAGCTTGAATTTAAACTTGGTATACAAATCTTCTACCCGTGGCTTAGGGTGACCAGACAAGTGTGAAAAATCAGAATGGGGGCGGGGGAAATAGATGCTTGTATAAGACAAAGCCCCGAATATTGGACTGTCCCCATAAAATCAGGACATCTGGCCACCCTACTATGGCCTTAAAAAAAAACAAACAAAAACCCAATGAAGTGCTGTGGAATTCCAGGGGCTAATGATTTCCTATGAATAAAACTACGTAATAAAGTTTCTCATTGGATAACAGCCTCCTGCTCTGAAATAAACTTCTTGGGCCTGATTCTTATCTCAGGCTGATGTAAATAAGAAGTAACTCCATTTCAGTCAGTGTAATTATACAGATTGAACCTGTCTAGTCCAGCACCCTCAGTACCCGGTGGGTGCCGAACCAGAGAATTTGCCAAACCACGGGTGGTCAATGCAGAGTGCCAGCGGGTCTCCATAGGCACAGGAAGTTGGGGTGCGGGGGGTGCTGCAGCACCCCCAGGCTTTGTGCCCAGCGTGGCCCCCTGCCTGGGGGTGCCGATGCTGGCCCCCGGTCCCAGCCACCGGTCCCTCGCCCAAGGTCCCAGCCGCCGGTCCCAGGTCCTCCCCCTACCTCCTGGAGCTTGAACGGTGTGAATCAGCTGTTTGTGGTGCTCTGGAAGTGCTGGGAGGGAGGAGGAGGAGTTTGTAAGCATGGGGCTGCCGGCACGCAAGAGGCACGGGGGGGAGCTTGACGCCGGTGGATGCTCTGCACCCACTAATTCTTCCCCGTGGGTGCCCCAGCCCTGGAACACCCACGGAGTTGGCGCCTATGCCGGACCAAGAATGTTGTTGGACCAGAGAGTGCCGGATTACAGAGGTACCAGTGTGGCAGCTGAAGACATTTATCCTGTAACCTCATATTCCATTTGTCATAGTGGGCCAAATTAATCTCCGGTCTAAATTCACTGAGGTCAAGGAAGCTACACCAGGGATGAATTTGGCCCCAGGTGTTTCTTCTCTGTAATGCATATAACTTACTTCTTTCTGGAAAGTGCCTCCTCTCCTTGTGGTGAAGAGGAGTGAGTGCTGTCCAGGAGCTCCTGCCAGTGTCAAGCTCAGGCTCTTTTTCTCTGTAGGTCTCTAGTGAACTTCGATTACTTTGAGGGAAGTGTCTCCTCTGAGGTCTGAGCCAGGTTGAGTCACCTTTTCCTTCCACCATACACAAGGATTCCCTTGTCATGTTCAGTTCAATCAGACGCTTTTTCTCTGCGTCACCCATTGTATCTAGGTGGGTGTCTTTCTTATAAGCAGAATTCCTAGTAAAAAAGCAAGCAAATCCTCATGTAAACAGAGTATTTGGCTCTGTCTGCTTGCCATGGAAGTGAAACTTATGATGTGTCCACAGTGACAAACAGCCTGATTCTGACTTTGCTTTGCTGGTGTAAATCAGGAGTAACTCTGAAGTCAGTGGAGTAACAATGGAGAAAAGCCAATCAGAGCAGAATCAGGTCTCGTATTTTCTTGAGCTTTAAAGATTGTGTCCTCGGATTAACATAGGGGACTCCCCAAACTTCAATGAGAACCATACACACAAATTCAAGGGCGGAATTTGGCTAAATCAGATTAAAATATGTGAGTAAAATTTTCATGAGTTTAAGTGCTTTAGGAGCCTATGGCTTGGCCTATGCTTAAAAGTTTTGCTGCAATAGCTATGTCTGTTACTAGTGTGGTAAAAAAATCATACCCTGACAGATATTGCTATGCCACCAAAAGCCATACTGCAGATGCAGTTATACCAGTAAAACTGTCTATTTGCCAGTATAGTTTATATTATTCAGGAAACTTGTATAAGCTGTATTGGCAAAAGCATGCTTTTGGCTATATAAGCTACGTCTCCACTAGAAGCATTTGCTGTTATAGCTTGCAAGTGAAGACAAGACCTAAGGCCTTCTATCAGTATATGCTGCATCCACACTAGGAGGCTATGTTGGCATAGCTATACTGACATAGGCTCTGTAGTGTAGATATCGCCTATGAGTGCTTTGCTGATGAAGGTATACTAGTATGGTATACAGCAAAGCACTCCCAATGTGGATGCAGTTTATACTGGCAAAAGTGTCTTTGATTTGAAAATGGGGCTTACACTCCTAAGTCACTTAGGTACATTTGAAACATTTACCCTGTATCTGTTTTTTACAAATCAAAATAGAAATAAACTATTCAACTACAGATTTTCTTATGAACAAAAAAAAATCCAAGGCGCCTGATTCTAATCTAATTTACACAGGAGTAATTCAAGAAGATCTTCACTGAAGTCAGTGGAGTTACTCTGGTGTAAAACCAGAGTGAGTTTAGAATCAATCCTTAGAAGTCTAATAACATATTAATTAACAATACTTTGAAATCTTCAGATGGAGTCTCATAAATACAAAAAAGTCAATTGAAACTGCAGGGAAAACTTAGGCAGAATATAGTTCCTAGAGCTGGACAAAGTATTAGTTTTGAATCATTTATTTAGTTAATTTTGCCTCTTCTGAATTGTTGGTGAGCAGCTTAATCCTTGAATAAATTTGAGAAAAGCTTAACATTAAAAAATTCTTTGGCTTGTAGCTTATTAACAAGCAACTTGTACTTTATATTCAAAAATATTTAAGGATTGATTGGACACGTAGGTCACATGGTATTTTTTCTGCTCCATGATTGGATGAACATAATCTTTAAAGGTTTCTGATGCATATCTGTGTTCTATGAATTCATAATTCCCTTCCTCTGGATATTCTCCAATATTCACTAAAAAGTCATGGAGTCAGCAAACATCCATGCCAGAACTTGTTTGCTAGAGTATTTTGGAAAAGCAAATGTAGCCAGAGAGTTAAAATTTTTTAATGCAGTATATATTCATAGAATTATTCTAGCTGTAATAATTACCTAAATTTAAATAGTGCCAAAAAACCAAGGCTCAAATCCTTGATCTTGTCAAAACTGCCAGTGCATAAAATGTGAAAACTTAAAGGACATTTGTTGCAAAGAACATAGTTTCTTATCTAAAACAGAATGTTACTATTAGACCCATCTAAAAAGCTCAAAGGTAGCTTACAGAATATTATTTGATTAAATTCCTTCTGAGATCTTTCCAAAAAGCTGATCTAAAATTTCTAACATTACTCAAGCCTGGTTTAAAAAAAATCTATCTTTCCCCTAAACTCCTTGGGGGTAGGGTCTGTTTTTTAAAATTGTGTTTGTATAGTGCCTACTTCACTGGGATCCTGGTCCAGGACTGGGGCTCCTAGGTGTTAACACAATACAAATAAATAATAATAGGGAGGCTGGAAGTGAAAGTCTCTTACAAGAAAAATATCTTAACAATATAAAAACACTACACACCTGAGCCTCAGCAGTGCTGTATTTTCTGTGGAGGAGGATCTATGTGTGTGATGCCCAAGCCAAATTTCAGTGGTAGAGAGAAAAAAACAAAGGAATGTTTGCCCAAGGACTTTGGAACAAGGGGCAGTTGGTGAAGATCCATATTGCCTAGCAACTGACAATTCAACTGGTCATGGTTCCATCACAACTGCTGTCTCCCACCTATGCCTTAAATTACCAGGTAGGACCAGCTTTTCTCACTTCTGCATGGCAGCTGCAATGAGCCAAATCCTGTAACTCCAATAAAGGCCAGTGAATTTCACTACACTGAGCCAGAGCTAGGATACAGGTAGGCAGCATTGGAGTCCATGCACCTTGCATAATCCAGTGATGTGCTATGTGGGGGAATGCACAGCACGGAGGGGTGATGGGGTCAGAAGGTCAGTGAGTACAGATCCAAGAACCACACCCTACTGGCACGGGTAGCTGCAGCCAAGAGCATCAGTATAGCACTGAGGATGCAGTGCTATTTCTGCTGAGGTTATGTGGGGATTGTAGGCAACATTCCCCAGACTTTTGTCAATCACCCCCATGCACAGCCCATATAGGCTCTGGTTAGACCAGGAAAAAAGGAGTGGTTTTTTAAAACATTAGCTAACATGTTTGAATTAACACTTTTAAAAACACCACTTATCATCTAATAGACCGGAATTAACAACTTTACAAATGTTTAAACGCTGGGTGTTCAATATGAGGATTCTCCCTAGAAACTCTCTTTCCTAGGCTAGACATGCCCATGGAGGATTCTCTGAAGAACCAGCAGCAGGGACTGGAGCAAACGATGTCTCTAGAACTTCGCATCACAGTTCCAGCAGGATGGCCAGGGCATTCTCTGGCTACATTGTCACTTTTTCTGTGTCACTAGCAGGGCAGATGGCTTTCCCTGTTCAAGAGAGTTCTTTGGAAGGTGGAGAAGTTGACTTCTTTCCCCCTTCCTCCTGTGCTCTATCTCCAGGTGTAGGTCAGGAGCCCTGTGGCAAGGTTGCTGAAGCATTGTCAATGATGGACATAAACTGAATATCCAGCCCGTTTACCTTAAGGAGTAAGCTAGAGATCAATATGGGTGCACTCGATCCGCAAGGAGGCTGCATCTCTTTGGGATTTGCCATGATGATGTGTGGTTGGCTTAGAGTGACCAGATAGAAAGTGTGAAAAATCAGGATGGGAGTAAGGGGTAATCATTGCCTGTTTACCATCTTTGCTGATCATGGATCCACATTTTTGGATTCGTGTAGGGCTCTAACAGTGAGATTATGAGATAGGGTGCTGGTGCGAATACATACAAAAAGTGGGTCAAACACAAGTTAATTATCTCAGATGCGGATCCAATTTTTTTTTATCTGCGCTGGACTCTACACATAGCTGGGAGGGATATAAATTGTAATGCACATCAACATGTTGTGCACTAACTGATCCATGCGGACCCTGCTGGTGCACACTGAAAGTTCTGTGGTGTGCATTAATGTAATCCTGTTTCAAACAGTACTATGTTAACATGCAGTAGGGAACTTTCAGTGCATGCCAGCAGGGTCCACATGGGCTAGTACACATTGGAGTTTACAACCTAATCAGTGTTGCACCATGTAGACGAGCCCTGACTCTTGGTTTTTGAATGCTTGGGATTAGCAATACTAGTGTGAGGGAATGGGGCTGTCTCCTCTTGCAGGGAAGGGTGCTATAAGATAACAGGAGTGGTTCCTTGCTTTTTGGACTCGGACCCTGGCTCTGCGTTTTGGGGAGATTATTTTGCAGAACTATCCTACATCTCTCTAGCTGTGCTCTGGCTCAGTGTATAGAGCGGAGGTGGGCAAACTACGGCCCGCGGGACCCTCCTGCCTGGCCCCTGAGCTCCTGGCCCAGGAGGCTAGCCCCCACCCCCTTCCCTGCTATTTCCCCTCCCCCGCAGCCTCAGCTCACTGCACCGCCAGCGCAATGCTCTGGGTGGCAGGGCTGCGAGCTCCTGGGGCAGCGCAGCTGCAGAGCTCAGCCTGACCAGGGGGCAATCAGGGGCAGGGGTTCCGGGGGCAGTCAGGGGACAGGGAGAAGGAGTGGTTGGATGGGGCGGGGTCCCGGGTGGGGCAGTCAGGAATGAGAGGAGGGGTTGGATGGGATTGCGGGGGGCAGTCAGGGGTGGGGGTTCCAGGGACAGGGAGCAGGGGGGTGGATGGGGCAGGGGTCCTGGGGGGGGCCATCAGGGAACAGGAGGAGGAGGGCAGGACTCCGGGGGGGGGCTTCAGGGGGCGAGAAATGGGGGGGGCGGGGGCTGGGCCACACCTGGCTGTTTGAGGAGGCACAGCCTCCCTTAACCGGCCCTCCATACAATTTCCGAAACCTGATGCGGCCCTCAGGCCAAAAAGTTTGCCCGCCCCTGGTATAGAGGAATGCCTTCTCTCATCTTTGGGGCTCTAGTTCCCCAAAGGGAGGAATAGGGCAGAGGGGTAGAACCTGAACCTGTTTCCCTGATGGGAGAGGGTTCTTGCAGGGGCAAAAGGGTTGGATCCTCTCCATTACTACTGGGATCTTCCTGGATGGGGCAGGGAGGTTGAAAAAGCCTGTGGGCCAGACTTTCTTCACTCCTAGTCAGGCAGGATATACACTACAGTCAATGGCTATCCTTGCTGAAGCACATCTCCACCATGGGTTGTCCTGGACAGTAGCTCTGCCGGCAGGCAAGAGGGGTTGGCACTTTCCCCCATCCCCATCTGGGCTCTGGCTCCCCCAGTTCAGAGGGTGTTCAGCAGGGAAAGGCCCTGGCTCCTCTCCCCACATTTTCTGGGCTCTGGCTCCCTCTAGAGAAGTGGTCGTTGGGGGGGGGGGGGTGAGATGGGCTGGATCCTCTCTCCTTCACTTCCATCTTCCCTATGGGGCAGAGACCGTGAGCATGCGGGGAGGGGCTCCTCTCTTTGGGGAATCTTGCTGCCAGGGTAGGGCGGCTGGAACCTCCCCCTCGTCCTGTGGGGGGCAGGGGGCTGGATCCTGCCTCCCTGCTGGGCTCCCAACTTCCCCACAGGGGGAGACCCTCTCTCCAGCCCCGGCCGCCCTCCTGTGACCTCCCTGGCCCGGCCCTTCGCCCTCCAGCGGGTTGGGGGAGGAGGGGCGGGGGCAGCGGGCGGGATTGGGTAGCTCCAGGCTTAGTGCCCGCGGGCACGGGGAGAGCACACGTGGCCTGCGGGAGGGGCAAGAGGAGGTCGCAGGCGCTCTCCATAGGTACGCTGTAGGATGGAGTAGGAGCTCCGCCCCTCTCCTGTGATTGGACAGGTGCTGGGCCGGGGAAGAGCCGCGTGCGCAAGAGGACTGGTGCAGGGACTCTCCCCGCCGGGCATCGGTGCCCTCTTTCCCTGCAAGCCGGCGAGCGGCGCGGGAAGCTGGGCGGGGAGGGCGCGGCCATGGCTGGGGACGGGGCCGTGGCTGGGGACGGGGCGGAGGAGGAAGATGAGGAGGGGGAAATGCTAGCGGGGCCCCCGCTGCAGCCCAATGGGTTCCTCCCGGGGAAGGAGGCCGAGCGCGGCAGCCACGCGGCCGGGGCGGATGCTGGGGCGCTCCCGGAGGCGCAGGCCATGCTGCCTTCCCCGGGCTCGGGCGTGGCGCGGGCGCCCATCCGGCTCTCCCGGCGCAGGCTGGCCGTGCTGGCCGTGTTCAGCCTCTACTCGCTGGTGAACGCCTTCCAGTGGATCCAGTACAGCATCCTGAGCAGCGTCTTCGCGCACTTCTACCGCGCCTCCTACTCCCGCGTGGACTGGCTCTCCATGGTCTACATGGTGGCCTACGTGCCGCTCATCCTGCCGGCCACCTGGCTGCTGGACACCCGCGGCCTGCGCCTCACCGCCCTGCTGGGCTCCGGCCTCAACTGCCTGGGCGCCTGGCTGAAGTGTGCCAGCGTCCGGCAGGACCTCTACCCGCTCACCCTGCTGGCCCAGACCGTGTGCGCTGTGGCCCAGGTCTTCATCCTGGGGCTGCCCTCCCGCATCGCCGCTGTCTGGTTTGGGCCTAAGGAGGTGTCCACTGCCTGCGCTGTGGCCGTGCTAGGCAACCAGGTGAGCGGAGGGGAGAGCATGGGAGGACCTGGGGCAAAGGGGAGGGGAGAGAGCTAAAGGGGAAAGGGAGCAAAAGATCGGGGGAGGAATGGGTTATGTAGGAAGGTGGGAGTCAGGTTTGCGCCCTTCTTTTTAAAAAAGAAATGCCAGGTTGAGTCGTGGGGGACGAGGGGTAGGTCACTGTTCATCAGTGCAGCAGCCACAAATCCATGGTTTAGATGGGAGAAATCAAGGTGAAGGAAATCCAGACAGAAGGAGGGGAAGAGAAGAATCTGGTTGAAATTGGGGGAAATCTCAGAAGGCGCTGATGGGAGGGACGGGACACACTTTGATAATGTTGTATTTTTGAGTGCTCGCTTTTGTAATACATCATACAGAGTTGATGTTGTTTGAATGAGGAAAATTCAGATCCAAGAGAGATTTTCCATTGATACGCACACAGCAAAATCCTTTATCACAAGAAGGCGAGATTTAAAATCCAGTACTTTTTTGTGCATCCTCCCCACAAACTGAGTTTTTTTCTTTGCAGATGAGTGTGGCAGGCCTACATAGGGGAAAATCTAAACTACTGTAGTTAATAATTACAATGCCAGCATTGAAATTACTATCAGAAACCTGACTGCTCTAATCCAGCATCTTTTCTGAAGTTTTCAAGGGCACATGGGTGTTAGAGGCTCATTATAATTTAATGGAGGTTTTGGCTGATGTATTTCTTTTAAACTAAATAAATGTTATAGAAGCTAAATTATCTGTCCCTTATAATTCAATATGGCAAGTACTTAAACAAACCATATCAAAGAATAAAACTGCGGTAACATCACCAAGTAACTTACAAAGAGCTTGTTTCAAATATGTACAGCATGGTTCAATTTTTAATAGAGTTTTTCACTAATCCAGTGAAAGTTAGGTAAGCAATGAAGAAAAACTAATGGAGAAACAAGCTTTAGTTGAGACTTGTAATGAGGTGAAAGGTCTATTTAGCTTTATGTTAAATAATTGTGACTATCATTTTCCCAAACAAAAAGCAGAGAAAATAAATACTATAACAAATACTACTATAATACTGCAGCATCAGGGTTGTGTGTTAGGGGGAGAAGATGGTGGGGGATGAGAGTCATGTGGAGATGTAGGCAGGGTTTGTGGTCTGAGGGTGAGCCTGGGGCAAAGTGTCATCCAGTCCTGAGTTGAGTCATCCTTGCATCAAGGCTCGCCTTCGTGTGCTAGACTACTTAGCATTAGAGCTGTGAAATCCCTTTAAGAACTGATTATCCCCATTCCCTGCGCACATCCGTGACTCCACATCTCAAACCATCATGTGTTGTTTCTATGGGGGACGCCATATGGAGGTGGGATGCTCGGGGTAGGCAAGAGGCCTGCCCCATTCATGCTCCTAAACTCAAGTAGAAGTCTTCATTCTCACCAGCTGTAGTCCTGGTCTGATGAACCTGTTCAGGATGAACAGACTGGGATTGTCCTTTGGTGAGCCTCAGAAGTCTTGCCAGGACGACTGGAGAATTCATGAGAGGAGCTGGTAATTTCACTCTTGTGGAAGTTCAACTGGAAGTCTTCTTACCCCACCATAAGAGTGAGTGAGTTAGTTAGTACTAAGGCTACGTTTTTGTCACGGGTATTTTTAGTAAAAGTCAAGGACAGGTCACGAGCAGTAAACAAATATTCATGGCCCATGACCTGTCCATGACTTGTACTATATTCCCTTAACTAACACTTGGGCCGGGGGACTGTGGGTGCACTGGGGTGGTGGTCGGGAGGGCACCGCAGGGACTGGGGGGTGGTCTGGAACCCATATTAGTGCTAGGGCAGGGGGAGGTTTGGCAGGGCTGGCAAGCTCCCTACTTGGCTCCGGGTGTCCCTGCAGCTCCTAGGGGGAGGGAAAGCCAGTGGGGGCTCCCTGCGCTGCCCCTGCCATGAGCTCTGGCTCCGCAGCTCCCATTGGCCAGGAACCACAGCCAATGGGTACTGTGGTGGTGGCACCTGCAAGATGTGCAGCGTACGGAGCCCCCTGGCTCCTCCACTTAGGAGCTGCAGGGACGTTCTGGCAGCTTCTGTGGAGCTTCCTTGAGGTAAGCGCTTCCCCGCACCCCAGCCCTGAGCCCCTCCCACACCCAAACTGCCTCAGCAGTGGCCGGTGTTGCTTGCCCAGGGCCTGCCTGTTGTGCTCGTGCAGCCCTGGAGCCAGCCGCACCGGTCACTGCAGAAGTCACAGAGGTCACGTGACCTCCGTGACCGACACGCAGCCTTAGTTAGTACCCATTATGTCTCTGGCGTTCAAGGCAGTGAGGAAGCTCCTCCACTCCTGTCTGTTTCTGGCAAGTCTTTCAGTGGTTCCCCAGCTGTGCCCCAGGTTTTTCAGCTCAACTTCCGCATCTCTCTGTTGTTTTGGGGCAGCCTAATTTTTGCTTGCCTTCAGGTGTCCATCTTATAGCTACTCTGGTGATGGAATCAATTTCCAGCCGAAGCGCATGGCCAATCCATCTCCAGTGCCTCCTGGTAATGATGATACTCATATCTTCTTTGCTGCACTGTGTGAATAGGAGTACTTGTACTCCTGTTCTAACACGGCTGCTACTCTGAAACCTGTGTGAATAGGTCTCCCAGTGTGTGGGGGATGGAGAGGTAAAGATCGGAGGATGTAGACTTCCCCCATAACATTGCTCCCCTGCATCCCCACTGTGTTTTGCCTGTGGCCATAAATGGTAAAACTCCCATCACCTTCACTGGTGCGGGCTCAGGCCTTTGGTGAATTTGAAAAAGGTAACAGGGATTTAAAATATTTTCCC